AAAATTATGAATCAGTCCAACTCCCTGCCACTGATTCCTGCTAGCTCATTAAGGGGTTCTGAACATAGGGACTTAAAGATCATGTGATCACTGTGATTGGCTATCACAGTGGTCAAATGATGAGGAGCTTGTCCCAGCAGGCTTCAGATCATAAGCAATGACCAGGAGTTGTCAGGGAAAGGCAATGGTGTGAGCGCAGTGAATCGCAGAACAGCAGATCTAGCTGACACATATATGCAGCAGTTTGGCATTAAGGCCCACCTGCAGATTCAAACAGGGACGGCCTGACAACTCATGGGGCCCCCGGGCAATAGGGGATCATGGGGCCCGTGTCCTTACCCAAACTCAAAAAAGTCTATGAAAAAGGTACCAAGGGCATCTCATGGTGCCCCCTACTGACCCCGGGCCCTCAGACAGTGCCCGAGTTTCCAAATGGTCAGTCTGCCCCTGGATACAAATACACAAATTAATGCAGTTCTGTAATCCAAAATTTTTTTTTATGCAAGCAGTGTATGTATCTAAATGTGACCTGGTATCAGAGATGAGCTCATCACTGTTCTGCTTCTCTTTTCACTGTCCAGTCACAGGCTGTGGGCAGGTCCAGAATGATTTGGGACTCAGAGGAACTGGGTAGAATGAGGCCGGTCATCAGACCGAGGACATCTAGCAGCAGAAAAAAAGTATTGCAGGGAAGACTCCAAATTGAACATGAACATTGCAGCAAACGATGGTTTGTAATCTTATCTTTCAATGGGATATTCATTTCTATGTTATTATTTTTGGATTGAATTCTGGATAAAAAAATTAATAAGATGAAATAAACAAAACTGCCCCAAAACCATTACAGATTCTACTCTATGAATTCCCATAAACAGGTGGGATTCTGAAAAAAAAATACAGCTTTGTAAAATCCATGGAGAAGGCAACCTAAGTCCAACTTAATAAAGCATAAATGGAAATTATCAGCATATATCACGAAACAAAAAAAAACATCAAATCAAACACAGAGCTCCATATAGGAATGGACATGACTCATCTGTCCCTGATTATGTTTTCCTGCTTCCACGCCGATAATACTTGTGAATATGTTAAGAGAATCATCAGCAAAATGCCCACATGAAACAAACAACAGGCCGACTCATTCGTGGTATTAAACATCAGAATGTCGGCTCGGAAAATAGACTCATTACCTCTGCCGCTTCAACTTAGGTCTACATAATTCAGAAAGAAACCTTGCATTTTTTTTTCATTTGTCTCTGCTCTGACCCGTGGATTTCAGAGTTTTATCAGTTACTTTCCTCTATTGCTTTAAACCTAACCTTTAGGCTGGGGGTAGGCAACGTTTTGCGAGACCCGAAAAATGTTTGCAAGAAACTGAGAGTGCAAGATGTATAAAACAAATGTCTTCTTCAGAATCTCAATAAAGAAAAGAAAGTTAGTAAATTTATTTAATATAGTTAGTAAATTGTGGTGACTATAAACTACATTCTGCAATAATAACTCCCAGCACTGGTGTCAGTGTGTCTGCAATAATAACCCCCAGCATTGGTGTCAGTGTCTGCAATAATAACCCCCAGCACAGGTGTCAGTGTCTGGAATAATAACCCCCAGCATTGGTGTCAGTGTCTAGAATAATAACCCCCAGCATTAGTGTCAACGTCTGCAATAATAACCCCCAGCACTGGTGTCAGTGTCTGCAATAATAACCCCCAGCATTATTATTATTTATTATTATACAGGATTTATATAGCGCCAACGGTTTTGCTCAGCGCTTTACATTATAGTGGGAGACAATACAGCAACAATACAGTTCAATACAAAAGGGATTTGAGGGCCCTGCTCCTTGGAGCTTACATCTAGGAGGGAGGGGTGAATGGTACAGTAGGTAGTCACTGTGGGGGATGGAGTGGTTGGAAGAGTAGAGGATTCCAGAATTAGCAGAGGATGGGATAGCCCCCTGAAGAGAAAGGTTTTCAGTGTCGCCAAAAAGGCAAGTAGAGTAGGTGATATTCTGATAGATTGGGGTAGGGAGTTCCAGAGGATGGGTGACGCCCTGGAGAAGTCTTGGAGACGAGCATGGGAGGAGGAGATAAGGGAGCTGAATAAGAGGTCTTGCGAGGAGCGGAGAGTATGGTTTGGGTCATATTTAGAGATAATAATCGGTTATGTAAATTGGGGCAGTGTTGTGAACCCCAGCATATGTCATTGTTAGTGTTTTGAATTTTAGCCGTAACCAAAACTGGGAGCCAGTGGAGGGATTGGCAGAGAGGGGTGGCGGATACAGAATGGTTAGTGAGGTGGATGAGTTTGGCAGCAGCATTCATGATAGACTGGAGGGGGGATAGCCTAAGATGAGGTAGGCCAATGAGGAGGGAGTTACAGTAGTCAAGGCGAGATATAACAAGGGAGTGAATAAGTTGCTTAGTGGTTTCCGAGGTTAGGAACGGTCGTATCTTGGAGATGTTGCGGAGGTGAAGTCTACATGATTTTGTCAGCGATTGGATTTTTGGGGCTGAAAGGACAGATGGGGAGTCTAGGATTACACCTAGTACCCTGGCATGAGGGGATGGGCTGAGGATGGTGTTAGCGATATTTATGGTAGGGGGGAATACTAGGAGCTCAGCATTTGGAAAGATTGAGTTTGAGGAAGTGGAGTTCCATCCAGGCCGATAAGTCGCTTAGTAGGCTAGTGATGCGGGTGCAAAACTGAAGGGGTGAGGTGAGGGCTAGACGGATAGATTTGCGTGTCATCCGCATGGAGATGGTCATTGAAGCCGTGGGAGTTTATCAAGTGACCAAGGGAGGAGGTGTAGATGGAGAAGAGAGAAGGGGTCCAAGGACAGAACCTTGGGGGGCCCCTACAGAGAGAGGGAGTGAGGAGGAGGTGGCAGCATTATAGGTAACACTGAAGGAGCGCTGCAATAGATAGGAGGAGAACCAGGAGAGAGCGGAGTCGCTGAGGCCAAAAGAGTGTAGTTTTTTGAGGAGGGGGGGTGGTCAATCGTGTCTAAAGCCGTGGAGAGGTCGAGTAGTAAGAGTATTGAATAGTGGCCGTTGGTTTTTAGTGTGCTTCTGCAATAATAACCCCCAGCACTGGTATCAGTGTCTGCAATAATAACCCCCAGCACTGGTATCAGTGTCTGCAATAATAACCCCCAGCACTGGTGTCAGTGACTGCAATAATAACCCCCAGCACTGGTGTCAGTGACTGTAATAATAACCCTCAACACTGGTGTCAGTGCTGCAATAACCCTCAGCATTGGTGTCTGTGCCTGCAATATTAACCCCCATCATAGGTGTCACTGACTGCAATAATAACTCTCAGCACTGGTGTTAGTGTCTACAATAATAACCCCCAACATTGGTGTAAGTGGCCACAATAATAACCCCCAGCATTGGTGGCAGTGACTGCAATAATAACCCCCAGCACTGGTGTCAATGTCTGCAATATTAACCCCGAGCATTGATGCCAATTTTCTTCAATAATAACCCCCAGCATTGATTGCCAATGTCAATCTTCAATAATAAGCCCCAGCATTGGTATCAGTAACTGCAAATCCCCCCCCCCCCAACGCTGCTGTCAAGTCCTGCAATAATAATCTCTGGAATTACTGTCAATGTCTCTAATGATAATCCCCAGCATTGGTTGGTGTCAATGTCTTCAATAACAACCCCCAACATTGGTGTCAATGTCTGCAATAATAACCTCTAGAATTGCTGTTAATGTCTCCAATAATAACCGTCAGCATTGGTGAAAATGTCTTCAATAATCACCCCAGCATTGGTGTCATTATCTGCAATAATAACCCCCAACATTGGTGTCAGTGACTGCAATTATAACTCCCAGAACTGGTGTCAGTGATTGCAGTGACATATCTGCCAACTTTAGACTTAAAGTGGGACAGTCTAAAGTTGGCTCAACTTCCGCTGAGCCCAGGTGGTCTTGGACCTGCCTCCGCCTTTGACAGGACCATGAAAAGAGAAGCAGCACAGTGATGAGCTCACCTCTCTTGCCACTCTACTCTCTCCTCCTATCAGCATGCTCCTTGTCAGCGCATTAACTGATTGGCTCCTTGTGCAGCTTCCCCCACTCACTCTCTAGCCCTGCTGTGCGGGAGGCTGATACCAGGTCAAATTTAGGTTCTTTCATTACTTACATTTAAAAAAAAAAAAGTGTAATGATGTAGTAATAATTTTAGAGCTGCCTTCATGTGTGTCTTTTATATCTTCCCGACTGCTGCACAGGTGCAGTTTAAATAGCTCCATATTCTATCATCGTCTCTTCCACGCCATATTTGTTTTATTAGCACGTAGATGTGATGTTATTTACTAAGTGCAGGTGTTTGCTGCGCTCCTGCGTGCCTCCATTATATAAATAACCCTTGCCGTTGTATATGGCTATATCCGCTCTCTGTTTATGTTTTATTGTTCGCAGCCATTAAACGTTATGATGTTCTCTCTGTACACAGTGAAATATCTCCTCTTGAAAAAAGATGGATTAATAATGAGCCGCGTTCTCATGAGTTGGCTAAAAGTGCCGCTTTAATAGGCCCGTTCTTTATAAACTGTTTTTCCCCAGATTTTTCTTTTTTTTTTTTTACACCCCGACCTAATTCTTTTCTGCAGTGCGGCTTCGACTTTTTTTTTTTTTTGTGCAAGGCTTAATTTCATCTGCCTGCGCTGACATTATTTGATGTGCCTGACGAGGGTTCTCATATCCGTAATTGTCAGCAGCTGTTGGTCCGGCCCCTTATCAGCGTGGCACATTGCTCGCTGCCATCTGCGCCATAGACCACTTGGCCGGCGATCCGACGTTGGGTAAGCCGGGGCACTGTGGAGGCTTGGTCGTAAAGCTGTGCCATCTTGAAGTCATTATGCTGTTTGTTCCGTGAATTTTAATCCTGTGACTTTCTGTACGATGGGCAGGGGGTGAGCGATAAGACACGTTTAAAATATATATGGGGATCTGTGAGTAACATTTTACCGCCGTGTCATTCGCACTGCAATTATTAATCCAGGTCTGAGGGCCGCCATATACAGCTCAAGCCGCTCCATCCATGCCAGTTGGCACCCTATTATATTTGGGCAGACTGAATACCCCTACAGTGACTGCATCTGATGCAATCACTGTTTGGACAATTATTTTCCACCTGGCTCAGGTGATCTTAAACTGTTACTAAACCCAGGACCCTGCATTCACTATATCTGGTCTCCCCGGACCCTGCATTCACTAAGTCTGGTCTCCCCGGACCCTGCATTCACTATGTCCTGGTTCCCCCGGACCCTGCATTCATTATATCTGGTCTCCCAGGACCCTGCATTCACTATATCCGGTCTCCCAGGACCCTGCATTCACTATATCTGGTCTCCCCGGAGTGCCCCTGCATTCACTATATCTGGTCCCCCAGACCCTGCATTCACTATATCTGCTCTCCCTGGACCCTGCATTCACTATATCTGCTCTCCCCCGGACCCTGCATTCACTATATCTGGTCTCCCATACCCTGCATTTACTATATCCGCTCTCCCCGGACCCTGCATTCACTATATCTGGTCCCCCCGGACCCTGCATTCACTATATCTGCTGCTCTCCCCGGACCCTGCATTAACTACATCTGGTCCCCCTGGACCCTGCATCCACTATATCTGCTCTCCCCGGACCCTGCATTCACTATATCTTGTCACTCCCCCGTACCCTGCATTCATTATATCTGGTCTCCCCGGACCCTGCATTCACTATATCTGGTCTCCCCTGACCCTGCATTCACTATATCTGGTCTCCCCGGACCCTGCATTCACTATATCTGGTCTCCCAGGACCCTGCAGTCACTATATCTGGTCTCCCCGGACCCTGCATTCACTATATGTGGCCTCCCCAGACCCTGCAGTCACCATATCTGGTCTCCCACATTACACACAACATTGAAATGCAATTATGTTAGTAAATATAAACTGCTAAATACTTTTTCTCATCAGCAGTAAAACTGCTAAATACTTTTTTCCTCTCATCACAGTATATAGCAATCTTGTGACATCTATCAGTGTCCAGCAGAGCACTGGTTACAGCTTGTAGGAGTTTTCATTCTCCTGTAGGAGGATGCAGGACCCCTGACCTCTGTCTGGACAGCACTGATTGGCCCTGTGCTGATCACTCTCCCAAGAAAAAAAAAACTCTCTAGCAATGCACATCAAACTGAGCATGTGCAGCTTGCCCCCAAGGCTCTGTTCTATCAGCAGATGGATTGGGGACAGCAGAAGAAAGGGAGGATCAAAGAAGACAGGATTAAACAGCCTTTTTAGACAATGTAGAGGATTAACCCCTTAGGTTCCACAGTGAGTATAACAAGCATGCTTTACTGCAGGCATCACTAAATGGCAGGGCAGTGGTCCGGATCCGGACCCAGAAACATTCCTTTTCACCATACGTTTCCCCCTGCTGTCCAGGCTCCCTTGTGTGGCCACCCCTGCAGTGCTGCCGACTTCCCTCCTCTCCTTCCTACCAGCAGATGAAAGCACACAATAGGATCCTTCAAGATGAAGAGTGGGGAGAGGGTCTTGTAAATATGTTCTATTTGGCAGGCCCTTCCTTTCCTGAATGAACACAATGAGTGATTGGCACTGATCACTCACTGTGTTCATTCATAACTGAAGCATATTAAACTGTGGGTTTTTTGGGGGTGGGACCTGTCAGGTTGGCTGTATTGGGCCCTGTGATTTCTAACAGCAGCCCTGACTGTGATACACGCTACATATCGCTGTGTTTGCCACGGTGAGAGCAATAATTCTAGCACCAGACCTCCTCTGTACCACTAAACTGATGACCTCGAAGGGGCTTTTGAAGTGTCACCTACAGAAAATATAAGGTACTGAAGTTTGTCGCCATTTCATAGGCGCACACAAATTTACAGTTTGGCATGCTGGGTATCTATTTACTCGTCGCAGCCTCGCATTTTATATTTTACCAAAAATTTGGGTAATTTATTGCATTTGTCTGCTCTAAAATTCACTAATTCGTTTCCTAGATCTTTGCGGTATTATCGTGTGACATTAAAATCGGAACTACCACTATTTTATTTTCTAGGGTGTCTGCTTTCAGAAAATATCTAATGTTTTGGAGGGGGGGTTGTGTAATCTTCAGGCCTAAAATTATTTTTTTAAAAATTCAAAAACAGCTCTGGCAGCGAAAGGGCTAAAGTGACACTAAACTCTGATTTAAAATTTTAAAAAATAAATACATTTGAGAATGTATCCTTTACAGGTGTGCCTCGGTTTACAAATTTAATGCATTCTCCGGGAAGTTTCATATTGCGAAAAATTCGTAAACCAAAATGAGGTTTCGCATAGGAATGCATTGAAAACCAATTATCCGTTCCAGAGGTCAGAAAAAAGTTTAAAAAAAAGTCGCTGTCGCTATAGTTCAGTGCCGGTTTTTAAATGAAATTACCGGCTTTTTTTTTTTTTCTTCATTATAGCTCAGAGAATCGGCTGTCACTTTCCCCCCAGCTAAGAGAAAGAAAGTTTCCTTTTTGTTTATTTCCCCGAGTTAAAAGAAACAATGTTTCCTTTTTAGTTTGTTTCCCGAGATAAAAGAAACAAAGTATCCTTTAGTTTCGGGGAGAGTGATAGCTAATTCTGTGAGCTATAGTGAACAAATAAAAAAAGCTGGTAATTACATTAAAAAACCGGCACTGGCCTATAGTGACAGTGACTTGTGCATTTAAAAACCGGCATACACTTCGTATTGCAAAAAAAATTTGTAAAAATGTGTAAACCGAGGCATTATTTTCAATGGATTTTCATTCATAAACCAAAAATTACGATAACCGAGGCGTTCGTAAACCGAGGTACGCCTGTACTTGAAAACGTCCCTTCTATTGCTCTCAGGCCTCTTCTAGATCCCAAAATTCCTTTTTTTTTTTTTTTGCTGCTGTGATCTGACTTCCTGTTAGAGGGTGGCTACATTCATTCTCCACGGGCCCACTGTATGTAGGAACGTAGCCACCCTCTCTTGGTGCCTGATCCCTGGAGATGGACTATGGATTTATAGTGTGCCTAGAGCAGTGTACATGACCACAACTATCATCCACTGCTCATGGCAGCACAGTGGCTAAATGGTTAACACTTCCACCTGGCAGAACTTGAGTCGTTGGTTCAAATCCCAGCCATGGCATCACCTGCCTGGAGTTTACATGTTCTCTCTGTGCCTGCATGGGTTTCCTCTGGGTACTCCAGTTTCCTCCCACACTCCAAAGACATGCTGATAGGTTAATTGGATTCTGTCTAAATTGTCCCTAGTTTGTGTATGTATGAATGTGAGTAAAGCAGGCCATAGACTTGGGGACGGTCAGCCATTTTTTTTTTTTAATGTCGTAAATCAATCGTTCAGACGGCCGACGTTGCCACTAATTAAAAAAAAAAGTCGGCGAGTTTTAGTCCCGTTTTTCAGAGATGGGTTTTCAGGGTGCGCCTAAAGGAGAGGAGAGTAGGTGATAATCTGATGGGTTGGGGCAGGGAGTTCCAGAGGATGGGTGACATCCTGGAGAAGTCCTGGAGGCGGGCATGGGAAGAGGAGACCAGGGAACTAGAGAGAAGGAGGTCTTGTGAGGAGCGGAGTGTGCGTGTTGGGCGGTACTTGGATATTAGGTCGGTGATGTAGTTCGGGGCAGTATGGTGGACGGCTTTGTACGTCAGTGTTAGGATTTTGAATTTGATCCGTTGCGCAATCGGAAGCAAGTGGAGGGATTGGCAGAGGGGGGTGGCGGAAACGGAGCGGTTAGAAAGGTGAATGAGTCTGGCAGCCGTATTCAGGATCGATAATTAATAATTTATAACAATTAATATAATAGCGGTGTCCCTGCATAGAGACCCGCTATTATATTTGACAGAAGAAAATAGATTATGCAGAAGAAGAAGAAGAAGAAAAGAAGCAACACTGTATCTATTTGTACTTGAATAGAAACATCTGTATCCGAAATGCATACAAATAGATACAATGTTGCAACTTTTTATTCTTCTCCGTCTTCTGCAAAAATCGATTTCATCTCCTCTTTTCTTCTATTCTTCTTCTTGATATTCTATTTCTTCTTCTCCTGCAAAATCTATTCCTTCTATTTCTTCTTTTTCTTCTTTTTCTTCATAGTCAATTTATTGTCAAATCGGCCAGGAGAACGGCCGATTCGACCATAAATTTACCGCGAAAATCGGCCGATCTAACAAATCGTCCCAGGATTTTCCACCTTGGACGATTTTCAAAATCTCTTAAAAATTAAGAAAAACGGCCAACATTTTTCCCCACTAACGGTACCAATACCGGCCGATTTTTTTATCGGTCGATAATTCAGCAAGAAAATCGGAAATCTATGGCCATCTTTAGGGACCTTAGATTGTACGCCCCTTGAGGGTTAGGGACTGATTTGAATGTACAATATTACAGTCCATGGCCGAAATTGTTGGCACCCTTGATATTTCTCCAGGAAATCATGTATTTCTCACGAAACGTATTGCATTAACACATGTTTTGCTATACACATGTTTATTCCCTTTGTGTGTATTGGGACAAAACAAAAAAAAGGGAGGAAAGAAAGCAAATTCGACATAATGTCACAACAAACCTCCAAAAAAATGGGCTGGACAAAAGTATTGGCACCCTTTCACAACTGCGGATAAATAAGAATGTTACAAGCATGTGATGCTCCTGTAAACTCACCTGGGGCAGTAACAGGTGTGGGCAATATAGAAATCACACCTGAAAGCAGATAAAAAGGAGAGACGTTCACTTAACCTTTGCATTGTGTGTCTGTCTGTGCCACACTAAGCATGGACAACAGAAAGAGGAGACGAGAACTGTCTGAGGACCTGAGAACCAAAATTGTGGCAAAATATCAACAATCTCAAGGTTACAGAGAAGTCCATCTCCAGAGAACTAGATTTGCCTTTGTCCACAGTGCGCAACATTATCAAGAAGTTTGCAACCCATGGCACTGTAGCTAATCTCCCTGGTCGTGGACGGATGAGGAAAATTGATGAAAGATTGCAACGCAGAATAGTCCGGATGGTGGATAAGCAGCCCCAAACATGTTCCAAAGACATTCAAGCTGTCCTGCAGGCTCAGGGAGCATCAGTGTCAGCGCGAACTATCCGTCGACATTTAAATGAAATGAAACGCTATGGCAGGAGACCCAGGAGGACCCCACTGCTGACACAGAGACATAAAAAAAAGCCAAGACTACAGTTTGCCAAAATGTACTTGAGTAAGCCAAAAGCCTTCTGGGAAAACGTCTTGTGGACAGATGAGACCAAGATAGAGCTTTTCGGTAAAGCACATCATTCTACTGTTTACCGAAACGGAATGAGGCCTACAAAGAACAAAACACAGTACCTACGGTAAAAT